CGACTGAAGCATCTCAAAGTTAGTCGCGAATCTTGTGACCGCCGGACGCTTGAGTTGCGCACTTGCAATCCTGTTGTACATCGCACGGACCTTGTCGACGTTGGTGAAGAACTTGCCAACTTGATTGCCCTTGTCGACGACCACTTTCAGCCAGTCCATGCACTTGTACATGTCCTCCAGGGCCAGATCCAAGGCATGCGCTGTGCAGCCCACACTAAAAATACCGGGGTACTTCGCCTCCACCATCTTCCCCGCTTCAGCGCAAACCCTCGCATTGTCCATCACAACACCGACAATGGACCCCGCACCGATCTCCTGGATCACCCCGTCCAGCAAGTCGAAGTACGCTTTCGAATCCTTTTCCCTCCCCTCCATGCAGACAGACTTCCAAAATACCGTTCCGACTGGGGAAGACACCATGACGTTCAGGTGCGGTTTGTTCCTCTGGTCCGACCACCCGTCCATCTGGAGCACGCACCCTGTTCTCTCCCACCTCTTGACCAGTGTCTGCGTGTCTTCCCCCACCAACCTGAACTGCCTATCCAACCTTTTCGTCCTCATCTCGTCCCTCTTGCAAGGCCACCAACTAGGATGGCACTTCTTCACAGCATCGATGAACTCGAGGAAGTAGTGGTTCTCCACCAGGCTGAACGGCTGATTCGTGCAAATCAGAAACCGATCCAACTTTCGACTCGTCCGCTCGTTCTGGGTGATGATGCTGTCCGCCTCCTCGATCAAAGTTTGTCTCACGGACCGTCCACCACTTCCAGGTGGAGGAGGGAAGCATGTCCCAGATCCTGCAGGCGAGGGGGTCTCACCATCACTTGGCCTCTCTCTTGGTGACGACGGAGGCACAAAATTGCTGGAAGATGGTCCTGTGGTCGGACCACTACTCCCACCAGTTCCACCTAGTAGCTGACTGGCCTGGTGCTTCCCCAGCCGGATGCCCTCGGCTCTCATCACCCTCTCCTCCGCTGTCAATGCCCGAGTGACAAGATCAATGCTGCATTTTTTCAAAAAGTGCTTCTTCAAGACCGACTTGTTGCCCACGAACCGAGTCTCGCAATAGTTGCACAGCCAGTGCCTCGATCCCTTGCTGGGGTCCTTGCCGTGAGGACCTTCATCAGTGAAGTGCCTCACAAGGGACTGGTAGATCTGCTTCGCAAGCGCCATCGAAAGCTTCACCTGCGCACACACAATCCAAAAACAGACCAGGCGTTAGCCCCTCTTCAACACTTTTCAACGGAGAGAGAGAGAGAGAGAGAGAGAGAGAGAGAGAGAGAGAGAGAGAGAGAGAGAGAGAGAGAGAGAGAGAGAGAGAGAGAGAGAGAGAG